CTTTTAATAATGATGAATAGCTCTGGAAGCCCAGTTCTACAAGTAACTAATTGGTTGTACAGTATCTTCCTACAGTGCACATGAAATTCTCCCTTGCTAGGAAAAAAGGTACCTAACTAGAATAGACTGGAGAACAGTCTCTAAGCTCATCACAGTGTTTAAAGTATTTATACACTTCTGAGAGTTAGTTCTCATTTTATAGAAGGGAAATGGAGGCAAGAAGAGTGTAAGGACCAGATCCATAAAAAAACACAACTTGGCAGCTGATGTGGGAACAGGCAGAATATAGGTGCCTAAATCCCAGAATGCAATCCTCAAAACCCCTGCATATCTTCTTCAGCACTTTTTCCCCTAGTTAGATTCCAAAATGAGGCAAAGCTCTGCCTAAATCCTTTCAGGAACTGGTGCCCCAGGTTTCCTTTTACCAGAGACCCCCAAGGATTGACATGGCCCATCGTCCAATTTGATATCAAGTGAACTTTATTAGTAACCCCTAGGCTTATTACAAGATAATTATCCTTGCAATATGACCTGGCAAGCGGTTCCTTAGACGTTACAACACCAACTTTCAGTGGTACCAGCTTCAGATCCTCTGCTGGGTGTGTGGAATGCTAGTTTCTGGATTCCTTGTTACTCAAAGCAAGAATTTCAAGGCTGCTCCTGTGGCAACACAAACACACAGGGTCTCTTTGTTTGTCCACTACTTTTGTAACTTTCTCATCTCAAACTGCCCAATCCTCAAGGTTCTTACCTTCTCACCTCATTATTTTAGATAAGGTACTCCAATCCTATTCCATTTTAGGTTTTCTTTCCTTTCAGGGAAACTACTGTACCTGGTTAGCCCACCGTACCAATCACAGCACTCATTTTTTCCCAGTGCTTTATAAGGTACTCTGTCCAATTCAGTTGCTTAGTTCTGGAAAGACCTAAAGTTATACTAAGAGCCTAAGCATAACTCAGTTTGCCTGCTACAGGAACCAAATCCAATAGGCTGAGTGCTAAATATGCCTGCCACAGACTGACAACACCAAGTTCAGCATAACGCTGAAAAGATACAGCCACCTTCATTCAAAGCTGGTGCTGTCAGGCCCATCTTTAGCCTCGTGGTTAAAATACTTGCCCATGAGCTGAAATGAGTTCAAATAAATTCAACACTCTCCTTGGCCTCAGGCAATTCACACTCACATCTCCCACTTACCTGTACAGTGCCTTAACCACCAGGCTATGGTTCAAGACATTTGTGTCTCCTTTGCATCTCACTCAGTATGCAGGTTTCTGTTACATGACATCCAGAAGTAACTCTCCGCATGTCTTGTGCTGGGATCTTGGATGCCTGACTCATGGCTGCAGGTGTCTAAAAGTTATATACTACAGTAGTGAGCACCACAATGCTCAAATCCCTCTGTAAAACCAGTGCTCACTCACTTGCCTAAGGCAGCCTAACAGAGCTGGAAAACAAGTAACTGAACATAGATCTTACAAGTCCTAAACTAATGCCCTAACCATAAGATCACCCCTACACCTCAGGTATTTTACTGTAAGTCTATTTAATATTTGGAGTTGCTGTAATTTACACCGGTATAATATTTGCCTTAAATGATGGAAATTATTTATTTCACACATCCTTAAATGATGGAAATTATATATCAATACACAACAGACCTCCAAAAATTTAAAGGATTTTGGCACAGTCAGTAATCAATTTTGATAAAATGGGCCCATGCACAGGATTGATAAAACATGGTCTCACTGGTCTCTATATGTGGTTTCACAGCATGCAGTTACTGCACATCTAACTATATCAACTTAACCCACGGGGCTGACATTCTTATAGCCCAGTGATTCCCAAAGGGTGTGCCGCAAAAAATGGATGGGATCGGGTCCCAGCTGCACTGGCCCCGAGTGCTGGGATGGCCTACAGACCAGATTCAGCCTGCAAAATGGTGCCACTTTTTTTTTTTTTTTTTTCCTGGATTAAAAG